TCATTAATTTTACCATATACCGTACAGATTTTAAATTATATAAAAAAAGATAATTCCTCAAAAACTATGGGTGATACAAAAAAACTAAAACCACATTTGTATTCAGCATACAAAAATCTATAAAAATCTGCTATTAAAGTGAATAAAGTTTTCAAAAACATTTTTTTCTTGGCCTGTGTTATTTATCACGGCCTTACAGGTGCTAAAAGCTGAACGCTTTTAAATTTTTTGGATGAGATTTGAATTAAGAACTGTATTCTCATTTTATAAACATTCCGAATTTAGCACAGTCTGACATAATTTAATCAGATCCCTGAAAATTCATAAGATCTTCACGTTTTGAATACAGTATCATTAAACACAAATGTAACAAACTTTCAAAGAATGAGGAAAGAAAAAACTACAAGTGAACATGGGCAATTACATTATTCAGATGTTAAAAAGCATGATCAATCAGTACAAGAAATAAATCAAAGGTATCAAAGAAGAGAACACCACGTTTCTGTTAGATTTGAAAATTTCATTATATAGAGAGAATGATTCGTTAGTTCGTTTTAAGAAAAAAGTTCTTATGAACATATGTCCGGAGTTGAAAAAAACAGTATTTACAAAATATCCTTACACCGATTTGGTTGAATTATTGATTAGAATTATTAGGTAAAGTGGAATCTCAGTGGGCACCACAGTCAACAATATTGAGAAAAAAGTACGCCACTGACTAAGTACAAGTTTTTTATTTTTGTAAATCAATCAACTAAAAATACAACTTTTTCGTCGCTTGTGTTTTCTTCATATATAGCTTCGTTTTCGAGGAAAAAAAGCCACTTTGCATATCATGAACACCTGCTCTTGAGACCATCTGACAGGGAATCTATTAAGAATAATTTTAGTAATGCTGAAATGGATGACATGTACTCTATTTATGGATTAGCAAATGGAAATGCTGAAGAAGCACGGATAATTTACCAGGACAGATATCTTAACAGATTAATTCCAATAGCTAAAACATTCAGAAAGCTACAAGCAAGATTATGTGAAATTGGGAGTTTGAAAAAAATGCATGTCGTGGAAGACCAGAAACTGTAACAATGCCTGAACTAGAAGAAACNTTATGTTGTCCATGGATAGTTTTTAGAAGTGATTTTTTTTCTCGTTTTTTTCTCAATCTCATGCAGATCACTGGAAAAAAGGATTGAAAGAGGATGAAAAATAAAACTTCATATTTGGTTGCGTTACTTGAAGGAAGAAATCCGATGACTTGCAAGTGGGTTTTGAAAAACAAAAGAGATGGTAACGAAAAACTGAAGAGAAGGATTGGCATCCGAGCAACTCACGTTGTACTCATTTTGAAAAACAATCCCCCGATTCAAATCAAAGATTTTTCAAAATCCTGGAAAGTGAGCAGGAATCTCATGAGGGAAACTTATGTAACATGAGGTTTTGAGATCAATTTTTCGATCTCAACCTTAAATCAGACCTTCCATATCCTTTTTGGTAGGTATTGTTATGTACGAGATACGTGATGAGGTTGATATACGAAGTGATAAAGTGAATTTGTGGTTGCCTTTTTGGGATGAAGGATGTACCCTAAATATCTCATAGTTGGAAGCTACAATGTACGATACTTCAGATGTAATTGGAAAATTATAATGAGTTTTCCATCAGGTAAGCCAATTAATTATTCAGTGGAAGATGTGCTTGCACAAATAAATCTCTCAAACGAAAGGAAATTTATGTCGATTCAGTTACACAACTAAATCTCATTAATTTTTCAATTATCTTTCCAATTCATTACTGACATTCATTGAGGCAGAAATATTTCCTATGTTAAATTTTTGTATCCAAAGTAGTAGTTAGTTGGATGGTTAGTAAGCCTCTTTCGAGACATATTGCTTATCAAGTTAGATAAAGGCAATTAGTTATTAAAGACACAGGTGCAAAAACAAGTGAAACATGTGTCACCAGGAAAACATGCAAATAGTGAAAAACAAAAAACGCACCATTCCATATGCGATCTGTAACAACGAAAATTTTGTTACTGTAGTTCACATTGTTCAGGACTGACTACATATATTCACATTCAAATGTTTTGATTAATCATTATTTGAGGGGTACAGAATAGCCGAATAAGATGACTAGAATTAATCATCTCCTAAAGATGTTAACTTGGTAAGCGAAACACGCGTCGAGAGACAGTATTTTGTTCTGCTGCAGAAAAAGTATTTTCATCAGATTAGTTTTACGGAAGTGGTTTCAATTATTCCGCCTATTAAGTGTTAAGAATTGACTAAAGTAATTAACGAGATGCATTCAATATCAAAGCTCTGGTTGATAGGAGCAGAAACCTATGGAGGTTTTGTATTACCAAGAAGTTAACTAGAGTGACCCATTGAGTCACCTTCTATAATAAGTATTTGTAATATATCAGTTTTTCAATAATATATAATATATATTTCTTCTTCAATACACTAGAAATAATTAAATTTTCTCTACGACTGAAAGTGAATCAGTCGAGGCCGAACATTGCATTATTGGTCTAAGAGGTTAGAACACCTCATCTTCACTTCTGTAAAGGTGGATAGTATATCGAAAATACGCCAAGTGATTGTAATATGTTTTTTTAAATATTTGCGTCCATTTTGATGAATCATTATTTAATAGGTTCTATTGCATTTTCATTGAGAAAAATTGGTAAAGTTGCGAAATTTGGTACTTCTCTTTTTGACAAAATATATTGTATTTGTTTGGAATCAATTTCAAGAAAAGTAAATGTTAAAAGTTATGAACATGGAGAATAAGGTAAATAATTTATTTACTTTTTTTACGTTTGAAAGATTATCTCACGAAATAACTTAAGAAAGCCATCGCAAAAGTAAGCTGAATTTGCTACTTTTTATGGTTAGTTTCACGCTGCTGTGACACTTTTTCTTTACAGTTATTTTAAAGTCTCTCAAAGTTTGCCTGAATTCTTCATATATTCTAAACCATTCCAGAAAAAAACTGACATTCATGATTTGTACAAGTTTTGCAGTATCAGAAGACTGAAATAATATGACTAGGGTGAAAATGCGTTCTCAGAAAGACTTGGATGCATGCGCAGAAAAACTTAATCATTCATTACAAAATAAAACACAACTATTTTACCATATTACTATTGAAAATTAAAAAATACTTACATAAGCAGGTACCGCATGTAAGAAAACTTTCGTTGAAATCCTCATAATTAATGCTGACTGTTTCAACTAAAGTTGAATTCATGCTCACCATCCTCTCCCCCAGTCTAGTTCTGCAAAAAAGAGTGTTCTATAAGCATCAGATTTCTTGATTGTAAATTTATAACAGAGTTCGAGAGATCAATTTCACGTCTAGCAGATAATACAGTGTATATATCAATGTCAATATTAGACTGACATTGAAATGAAATGCTATTTGGAGCCTCCAGCAAAATAACTAAGGTATAAAAAACTGGAACAAAAACCACCTGTTTTAGCAAAAAAAAAAAATGGCTTCTCGACAAGAATCAGTAACGCTGCTGCAATTAATGGTTAAAATAATTCATTTGTTAAATATTTGGAGCAAATTTCAAACGTTTGTCAGTTTGAAACGGCCAATTTTTACAAACATAGCGGTGTTGGATAGATAATCGGAAGGCCTTCTAAACCAGGAGCCAGGTGAACCCCTTTGCATAAAAAAATTGATGGTGCCCTCTTGACACTAGGCCAGGTGACCACAATCATTTTTTTGCCAAAAAATTGTGAAAGAAGTACCATTTCACCTGAATTTTACCCGACCTTAAGTGGTGGGGAGGACTTTTCACGTCCTCACTGTATATATGTGAGCACTCTTCCACAGATGATCTAATTTGGATTTTGTAAAGCATCTGCTGCAGAATCCGTATTCATATTACAGAAATATGGTTAATAGTAATAAAATAGATGATTGATGATCTGAAATAGAGTTTCAGATAATATGAATCCTTGAGAAACACTAGCGTTGATGGTAAACGATGTGATTTACAGTATTAACAAAATATTGTATTTCGAAGAGCTCATTTACAGTGACAATTCAATAGATAATACAATAACACAAAGGGAGCATTTCCTTACAATGCACTTTTCATCATGAAGCTTTCATTTCGAGGATGAATAATGAAGTCATATACTGAGATGCAGAGTTTCGAAAAACATTAAGGTATTCTATCGAATTCTGAAAATGAACTCAAGTCCCAGTCAGCAATTCAAGATATTCAATTTGAAGATTTTCTTGTATCACAAATCAGAAATGAATATAATACTGCAAATAGTCTAAGTCGACCGACCATCTCCATGAATATCTTTACATATTTCAAAGGTTTAATGAAACTTAATATTCTCAACTGTACTTTTCTTGCGATAAGTTTGAGTATAAATAAGGAATTAGGTACGGCTGACTTACTCGGTATGTAACATAATATTCACTATGCATTGTAACACGAGTTCTCATGGCAGTATTCGAGTGAAACAATAGTTCAATTTCATAATGGCATGTGAGAGAGAAAAGGTGCCATTCAATGGTAACTAGAAACTCAGCGTGGCCAGTCATAAACATTCTATTTCTCACGTTTTAGTACGGTGACTGAACAAACTAGGAAATGAGCAGAACTTTAATTTGCTTTTATAAACAATTCCACACCGACTTAAAACCGATTCGAAGGATACCATTCAATTAATGGAACGTTTCAACTGAATAAATCAAAAACAATAGTATCTTACAAACAAAGCTGGGAAATATCGTCGTACGACGACTGTTTGGGAGTTCTCACCGATATACGGAGTGTTGATTTCAAAACAATACACTCCCAACATTTTACAGGTAGAACAGTACACCAGATACCGAAACACGACAATGGTTCATTGTGAGTTCAACCCTTTTCCATTACCAGATCAATTTTTTACAGTATGATGAAAATTATATGTAATTGTAAATATTGTTGAATAACAACAAGAGATGTTGCGCGATATTTCTAAGGCCTTTGACCATGTGTGGCATGAGTGTTTGCTGGCCAAACTTCGATGCCATGGCTTGTCGGATCATTTTTGTGTATGGCTCTTCAGCTTTCTGAAAGAACGTTCCCTGCAAGTGGCCCTCGATGGATATCTCTCGAATACTTTCACCATCAATGCTGGTGTTCCCCATGGATCCATATTGTCTCCAACCCTCTTTTCATTGTATATCAATGACTTATTGGAAACAAAAGGATCCAATATATTACTTTGCTGACGACAGCATACTTGTCTCGTAATACCATTTGGATTCCAGGACATCGACTATGGAGGCACATCTTCACCGGCAGCACGAGGTTGCATATCTTAATGAGGATCTGGAGGTGATTTCGAATTGGGGTGAAAGTAACCAGGGTCAATTCAATGCCACAAAAACCCAGGCATCGGTTTTTTCCAAGAATATAATTGTCTCCGAACCGGATATAGTAATGTCAGGTCAGACAATTCCGCTTTCTGCTTCGATAAGTTTATTTGGGGTTAAAATAGACACCAATATGTCTTGGCACAATCATGTCGCTGGAATTGCAAAGGCTGCTTCTCTAAAGTTTGGAACACTGTTCCGTACCAGAAAACTGTACACACCTCAGCAATTTTAATGCTTTATACAGCTCAGATCAGACCTTCTTTGGAGTATTGTTCTCATGTTTGGAGCTATGCCCCCAAACATACCCTGAAGTTGCTGGATTCCATCCAGAAAAAAGCTATCCGCCTGATTGAAGACGCGAACATCACGTGCAAAATTGATAGCCTGGAACATCGAAGAAAGGTTGGAGATCTGTCTCTCTTCTATAGATACTTTCACGGAAAGTGTTCAAGTGTCTTGGCACATTTCATTCTACCAAGAGCGGTACATATCAGAAATACGCGACGGACTGTGGCTGCTCATCGTTTTGATGAGATGTTTGACTGAAAAATGTTTTGATTACGTTTACTAGAGTGAGAGATATTTTCTGTTGAATGAATCAATTTTTTAACATGATTCTCAGCATAACTTCGTAACCACCTAGTATAAACCAAGATAACCCTATATATTTGAAAATAACTATTTTCAAAGAAATCATTCTAGGGTATATAGGGGTGTAGGAGTATATATGTATAGGGTATTCCATTAAAAAAGGCAACTTCGATAAGTCAAACGTTTAATAAGCAACATGTATCATGATAGTTATTTTCGTGACATAGCTGTCATTACTCTCTAAAACATTTATTGAAAAATGTTTGTTTCTTGAATAGGGAAGTCGCTAATGCCCACCCACACATTGTTGATACACCCTGTATATACTACTTTCGAATACACACGCATGTTATGTTTTCTGCTTCGTGGTTATGGAACTTCACATTCGTACACCGTTTTGTTTGTAAAATACCCATTTGTTACTCCTTAGCGCAAATGGACAAAATATTCTATCAAAATTTTGGTCACTGTAGTGAAAAGTGAATGCCCTGCTTTGCATATTATCTTCTGATAGCCATGAAGCTCGATAAACCTTCTAATACGATTTTTTGAAATTATTTATACAGTGCTAGTCAAAAGTCCCCTCCCCCCCTCGTATCTTTGAAACGGGTATACTTATAATAATGAAATTTGGAGGGTGGAAATAAACGGATGTAGGCTTCTTAACTGGTCATAACAGGTGACGCAATAGTCATAAATGACGTCACAAGGCCACTGTGACCAAAAATTTTAAATGGGACCCTATGGCAAGTGACAGCTCGTTTGAAAGNTATACCCGTTCAAAAGATACGAGGGGGGGAGGGGACTTTTGACTAGCACTGTATATGAAACATCGTGAAACTCAGAGGTTAAATTCTTGAAGAACCATCTGAAATTGATCAGATTTGTAGTTGTACATTTGTTGTAGTCGTCAACATATGATGTTAACTTGGTTGTCGAGTGACAATATTACAATATTTTTGTTCTGGTGTGGGAAAAGTGTTTTCGATAGACCTGACATTTGATGATTGAATGTTTTTTCATGAAACTCGATTTGAATGTCATAATTCAAGTGCGGATTGACTGTAGTAGAATATGTAGTTTTAACGTTTGTTTGAAGGTGTAGTGTAGTTTTAAATAATCAATTATGAAATAACTGAATTTTATTTATATATTTCATTATCCGGCCAATTTAGACATCTGAGGGTACAAAAATTCACACCCATCTCAAAGTTGGTATAATATTGTAACGAATTGAAGAATTTACTGTCTTAAACAAATTTAATTCTAAGAATATTTCACTATCACAACTAATTTATTTACAACACTTAGTACTTAATTTATTTTCACATTTTTGAATTCCTTGTTTTCCGCTTGATTAGCTTTCTGAACTCATACTCTCACTCTGGATGGGAAGCTGGCCTTTTATATCGGTAACGTTCGCTCTAGATTCCTCTAGTGGTTTCGGTACTCATCTATACTTTTCGCGACGGTTCGCGGTGATTCATGTGTTTGCTGGCCGAGATATCGGTCAGGGCCGGCTTCAGATTCGTTACATTGCCCCCTTCTTGAAGACGTTTCGCCCCGAAATGTCATCCTTGGCGTGTGTCGATACCTGCAGGACTCCCCATATCTGCACTGTGAACTTCGATGGAAGTAACACTCCACAGTTTTCATGCTCGGTTGTGGAAGATGGTTACCGCATACCAAAATCTTGATGCCGCTGGATCTGAAGATCGTTTTCAACATGCTTCTCACAATTCTCCAGTCCAGCCTGTCGAGCCCAGAGGCTAATTTCGGGATTGCCAAGTCCACGACATTCTGGTCTAGCATCGTGTCCCTCAGTCTTGTAAGACTCCTCCAGACATCTTCATATGACGGTTTTTCTTGAGAGTGCATTTTGGTCACCAAGTAGAAAACGTTTCTCTGACCCTTCTTTAACTGTAGCATTCCTCCGAATTCAGGATTCCGTTCTCGTAATGTTTGAAGCTGACCGAATTTCTTGTTGAATGCAACAGCGATACCCCTGGACATTTGGAGATACTCCTTCTTCCATCCGATGACTAAACAAGATCTGGGTCTTTCTCTTGGTCTTCCTTGATCTTATTGTCCACCCAGTTGTCGTCTACAGCTGTAGTTCTATACATAGCTGCTACCTTCTCTTTGGCTCGTCGGCAATGTGAGCAGTCATCGGGGCATGGTCTCCGTGACAGAGCATCTGCGTTTTTATGGCTAGTCCCAGCTCGATGTTCTATTTCGAAGTCAAATTCTTGAAGTCTCTCGATCCAGCGCGCTACTTGGCCCTCGGGA